CACGGTGCTAAGTGCATTGCATGCCACATCTAAATCTTAGTAGCTCTAGGAGATAGGCACTATTTCTGTTTCCGTCTTGCAGAGGGGAAAGAGCCGGACCCGGCAGGGTGGGGCAGGATGGGGCCAGCAGTCTCAGACGAGGACCGCGTGGGCTGTTGTTGAGCAGTTCTGACAGCATGTTTACTGTTCAGCCACTCGGGGTCAGCTGCTCTGGGAGTGGTGCCTGGAGCTGCCACCAGGTGGCATCTCCGCTCGGTACCACTAGGGGGCGGGAAGTCGAGGGGGCTTCTCTCCACAGAGCCAGCCCGCCAGCCCTGGGGAGCAGAGTGCCTGGGTCCCAGGGATGGAGATAGCAGAAGCCGGGCTGCCAGGTACCAAGATCCGCGAGGGAAATGGGGCAGAGACAGGAAGACGAAGTGTAACGGGAAATGGACACCATGTCCAGTTAGAGAATGCTTGACGACCTTCATTTCTAAATGGTTCCTCTCCTTCTCTATGGCAGAAGTTTGAAAAGAAATTTCAGTCTGAGAAGGCAGCAGGCTCGGTGTCCAAGAGCACGCAGTTTGAGTACGCCTGGTGCCTGGTGCGGAGCAAGTACAATGACGACATCCGTAAAGGCATCGCACTGCTCGAGGGTGAGGTGCTGGGTTACCCAACTCTCCCCTTCCCGACTGCCATCGAGGGCTGCTCTTCAATATGGGCCCCTATAAACAGTCACCTGGCAGTTACTTCCCTTAAACTTACTGCGGCAAAGGGCTATACTTAGTCTGATTCTCCCAGTGAACTGTTAGCTAATTACCACCCACCATTGTTTTACCAATCAGAGTCATAGCATGCCAGTTCTCACAGGACTGTTGTGATCTGGTAGAGAAAGTGACTTGTCTGAGGTCACACAAATAATCAATTAGTGACTGAATTAGAACCAGAAGCTCCTGTCTTGTGAGTCTCAGTCCTATACTCCTTGCCCTCCCCCGCCACCATGTTGCTTAGCCAGCAGCTATTGAGAACCTTTTGTCGGGATGGCATAGAAGAGGCACAGAAGACTGTCCTAAAAAATTGTGAGCAGATGGTGTTTTTGGATTGGAACCCTATTTTCCATTGGTTTGGGGTGGGTCATCATTTATCAGAGGCCACAGTACTTGATCATTAAATTTCTCTGTAGCCTGTACCCTCTTTCTCTTGGTCAAGTAATCATTTATAAGCAAACAATCTGTGCAGTCACCCCTTGGTATCTGTGGGGGATTGCAGCCAGAACCCTCCGAAGATACCAAAATACACGGGTGCTCAAGTCCCTTGTATAAGATGGTATGGCATTTGCATATAATGTTAAGCACATCCTCCTGTATAGTTTAAATCATCTCTAGATTACTTAAAATACCTAATACAATGTCAATGCTGTATAAATAGTTGTTACACTGTATTGTTGAGGGAATAAGGACTACAAAAAAATCCGTACATCTTCAGTACCGACACAGCCATCTTTTTTTTTTTCCCCGAGTATTTTCAATCCTAGGTTGGTTGAATCCACAGATCGGAACCAAAGGGCTGACTATACTAGCAACGAATGCATATTGTAAACCTATAAAAATAAGAACCTTTCTTAATGCAAATATTCTCACCGTACATTCGCCTGTTTTGCTAATTCAGATTTTTCAGGTTTATTCTACAGCAGGACACAGCTGTAGAAGTGGTCTAAGTGTTGCCATTCTAGTTGAGGAGACAGTACAAAGAAGATACTTGGGAAGATTTATAAACACCTGAAAGCTACTTAGCAACAAATTCTAGTGCTTAGAGTACAACCAAGCACATAAGCTTCTGGGAAGTCACTGAATTAAGAAAGTCAGGTGGGGTCATTCAACGAAGGCTAACTGAAGGTGAGTTTTGAGGTGATTTTTTAAAAAGGGAGGGAGTGCAAACTTATTTTTAACAGCGAGGCAGTATAGTTTGAAACACACAGCAGATACCAAAACTGGGTAGAGCTGCCTTTTGACTCCTCCAGGGCCTTGATTTCCTGTCAGTTCATGTGTGCTGGCCAGAGTTGACTGTGATGCTGATAACGTGATGTCTGTTGCCGGGGTGCTGGGGCAGTCTGGGTCCACCCTGCCCCAGAGCTCTGGCTGGGGAGCTGAAACGGAGGCTCAGGACAGCGACTTTCCCAGGATCGCAGAGAGAGTCAGAGAGTGGAAGGGGTCTTTGGGACACGGTATTAGGAAAAGAAAGAAGCAGTTTTCCCCCTTTGCCCTCCCCCTCTGCAGAGCTGCTGCCCAAGGGGAGCAAAGAGGAGCAGCGGGATTACGTCTTCTACCTGGCTGTGGGGAACTACCGGCTCAAGGTGAGGCAGAAAGGGCCCCTTCTTCCCTCTCACCTGCTTAGGTGGGCTGTAGTGCCTTCTTATTTCCTCCGGGGTACAGCTCTAGACATCAGGAAGGCTGAAGAAGGGCAGCGGGCAGGGAGTGGCGTCGGGTCCAGAAGTACAGCATGGTATCAGACCAGGACTCTGAGGGAAGGTGGGAGGATCAGGGTGCCAAGGGTGTGGGGAGCAAGGTGATGTCAGATTAGGGTGCAGCCCCAAGCCCTGGGCTGTTATCTACCCAGCTTATCACCACTACACAGTTGGGGTTGTTTGTGGACTCTATTCCATGGGGTGAGGCCGGAGTCAGGGAGCAGGTGAGGTGGAGGGAGGAGCCCCCAGGGCTCGAGCAGGAAAGGACTGGTGGGCAGGAGGAGCGGTAGAGCGCTGGGCTGTGGATAACGTGTGTGTATGTCTTTTCCTTGAGTGTAGGAATATGAGAAGGCCCTAAAGTATGTTCGAGGGCTGCTGCAGACAGAACCCCAGAACAACCAGGCCAAGGAACTGGAACGGCTCATTGACAAGGCCATGAAGAAAGGTGAAAGCCGCCTCTCCGTTTGTTAAGTCTTCCTTTCCCCTTGCCTGGACCCTTTGGTCTCTCTTTAAATGACCCCCCTCCAAGCAGTCCCTCCTCAACGCCCCCAACCCTTGGAGGCCCTCACCCCGTGACTCTAGGTAGGGTGCACGCTTCTGTTGAGGGGCAGGGGCAGGGCCAGGGAGAAGGTGATGGTTAGGGTCCCTGGAGGGGTAGGGGCTGGGTTCCTGACAGTGTCCCTTTTCCTTTCCCCAGATGGACTAGTGGGCATGGCCATCGTTGGAGGCATGGCCCTGGGCGTGGCAGGACTGGCTGGACTCATCGGACTTGCTGTGTCCAAGTCCAAATCCTGAAGGAGACTGCACCTTCTCCTCTGCCCAGGGTGACATGGGAGCCCGTGGAAGACACTGGAAGAGGGGCCCATCCATCTTCACTGTCCCTTCCCCCTCCTTCCCCTGCACCCCTGCCACTGGCCATTGTGGCCTTCAACTTCCACTTCCCTGAGACCCATCCTTCAGCCCCAAATCATGTGCTTTGGGATGAGTGTAAATAAAATCGGGCTGTGGCTTGGGAACCTCTGCTTCGAGTTGGGGGAGGGGCTTCCGCTGGGCATAGGGTGGGGGGGGTCACTCATGGTCCCTTCCTGCTGCTACCCTCTAGGCTGGTGGGGGGGGTCCTCCTTTGTCCCGGAGCAGCCCAGACCCCACGCCCTTCCTTCCTCTCCTCCCCCAAACCCCTTTTCATGGCCCTAGAATCCTGGGCGGGAGCAGTGACCGGAGGAGGAAAGGGCAGAGCTGCGGGCACAGGATGGGATTTATGCCTCCCGTCTCCTCTGACCCACTCAGCTGCCTCTCAGCACCTGGAGTTTTCCACACCAGCGGCCCCTCTCAGATTCCTCCCAACCCCCGCCCTTCCCTCCATGTGTCTTCCTGCACCCCCCTTTTCCCCCTCCCTCATCCTCCTCAGGGGGAGGGAGCTTCGTGGGGAAGGAAACTGGCATTGGCATGGGGTGGGCAGGGCCTTGGGAGAGGTCGGAAGCCCAGGGTGCCGGCGCTGGCCTGTGGGATGGAAGGTTGACCCATCCCCACCCAGCCTGCCGTGCCCCGCGCCCCCTCGTGCCAGGCTCCGGGTGGGCCTGTTTTGCTTCCCTGCATACCTCTCGTTCCACAGCCCAGCTGGGCGGTGGGGAGGAGGCACCTGAGGGGAGCATGGAGGAGCCTGACTCGGGAAGGGGGAACAGGGAGATACAGTCCAGCTCAGTGATGTCCCCCCGGGCTGGGTGGGCAGGAACAGCCGCTGAGGGACTGAGTCCTAGCGCCACTTGCCAGAAGGGAGCCAGGGCTGTCCCAGCTCTGACCCTGGGGCAGAAAATGAAAGTGTCCACACTGGGACAGGTGCTCAGCGTGGGCTCGGGGACCCAGCGGTTTCTAATCCATCATAATTGGCAGAGCTGGTGACAGTTGCTGATAACTCTGAACGGGTCACATTCTGGGCCTGTGATCTACCTTCGGGGCCGCTTGGCAGCAGGATCAAGCTCGATGCCAAGAGTCAAAGATCAACTCAATGAGGGGGAATTAGAGTTCTGGAAGAAAGCGATGCCCTGGTGGCCTCAGTCAGCCCTGTGGCACTCAGTCCAGGACAGTCCCCAGGTATCGAGCACTTGGTACGTTTGGGGAGCTTGGACTTGTGGTCCCAATCCCTGTGACAGCCTATGAAGTGAGCAGTGGTATCTACTTGACAGAAGCAGACACAAGCTCAAAGGGGCTGAAGCACCTGTCCGGTGACCTGGGTCAGTGGTGGGGTCGAGCTCAGATCCAGGTGGGTTGGACTCCAGAGCTGTCACTCTCCCCCACCTTCCCGCCTCCTCATTCAGTGTTAATCTTCCTTGGAGACTTAAATGTCCCAACCCCTAGGTCTTTGAGTGTCTTGGATTGTTCTCCCCACCCTGAGGGGGTGGCTCTGCTGCCCCCTATTCTTCCCCACTGCAGGCTGCATGTGGGCCTGTGTTCATTCTCATCCTCCCTGGTGTCTGTGTCTCAGTCACCTTTTCTTCTGTCCCTCCGATCCGTTCCCAGCCCTCATGAAAGCTGAGTCAGAGACAGAGCTTCCCCTTGGCTCCCAGTGCCTCCCTGGGGGCCCCTCCTTGGCTGTATCCGTCCGTCCGTCACTCCTGGTAAGTCCACTCCCCCCACCCTCGTGGGGCGGGGAGTCGGGGCAGCCCAGAGCTGGGGGGAGGGGGTGGACTTTTGGCCTGTTTGGTTTATTCCCTCCATCTCCTCGCCAACAGCCGCATGCACTGGGCTCACTCCTCTGACCTGCCAGGAAGCAGAGAGACCCAGAGAGAGGGAGGGAGGCAGAACCTGGAGACAGACCTGAACCTGAGGAAGAGGCAGGCAGAGGCTGCAGCTGGACTTGTGCCCTTCCCCTCCCTCCCTCCCAGCCGGCCTTGGCACCCTCCTGAGCCAAAGCCCCTTCAATTTCCCCAGGGGCTCTACTCTCCCCCTGTCTGGGGCACCAGCCCCTCAGGGACCTGCGTCCTGCCATGTCGGTGGCTGTGGAAACCTTTGGCTTCTTCATGGCAGCCCTGGGGCTGTTGATGCTGGGGGTGACCCTGTCAAACAGCTACTGGCGAGTGTCCACCGTTCACGGAAATGTCATCACCACCAACACCATCTTCGAGAACCTCTGGTATAGCTGTGCTACCGACTCCCTGGGAGTCTACAACTGCTGGGAGTTCCCGTCCATGCTGGCCCTCTCTGGTATGGGGTGGGGAGAGCTTCAGGGTGCAAAGGGGGTGGGAGGTTGGAGAGACCCTAGGGGAGGCTGGGTATTGCCGTAAGGATACGGGGGCCCTGGGTCAAACTCTGGGATCTGGGCTTCTCTACCCAGGAGTGCTGGGGATGGCTCCTATCTGGAATTGGAGTGGAGATCTTGTCTCATATGGCCCCCTGCCCTAGTGTGCCACTCTATCTTAAGGGTAACAGGTGCGGGCACCGGAGTCAGACTGCCGGGGGAAACTCCTGCCTCTACTAACTCTGTGCCTTGGGCAGGTGGTAAGACGAGCTTCATCTTAACCCATCTGTAGGATTAGGATGGTAACAGTCCCTGTTCACAGATGGTCAACAAAGTACAAAATGTTAACATGATGTTAACATACATGCACTCAACAAAGTTTAGCATTTTATTTTGGGGGGGGGCAGGGTGAGGAGGCCCCACCTTGGATTCTTGGTGCTTGATGCACTTCCAGTCTCAGTAGTGTCCCTGGGCACCTGGGCATCTGCTGGCTGGGACATTGGTCTCCACGTCTGCTTAGTTCTAAAGGTCCCTTGTGAAGGCCTGGTTCAAGGGCAAGGGAGGTGTCTTGCAGGCCGGAGCGTCTACTATAAGGAGGAAGCATGTGTATATGTATGTGTGTTTGGGGTTCTCAGGACAGTCTTTTTTGAGGTTCCTAGAGCGCTGGAGCCTATAGCTTTTTGGGCCCAGAGCAGTTCTCTCTGGTGGCTGCAGCATCTTCCTGCTTCCTGCTCACTCCCTGGGACTAGACCTCCCCATCACTTTCCCAGGGGAGTCTCTCTTTGGTCTGCCCCATGACCGGAGACCAAGAATTGGTAGCTGTGAACCGTAGGCAGTGCCACTCACCACCCTCACTGGGTCTTTCGGGACCAGCCTGCTCTCCCGGCGTGCTGTAGGTACCCCGTGGTGGGGAAGGAACAGAAGCCAACACTGGGTGTGAAGCGGGGTTCCTTGAAATTGCCCCCTTAAATGTCAGAGATGCTGTAAGCAGTTAGGGGTCTGGGTAGGTCTCTTGTGCCCCCACTAGTCCAGAACCTCCTGAGGCAGTGACAGGGACTAACTGCAGGACAAGTGCCCCCCAAAACCCTATAAAGGCTGAGTACAATCTGGGCCAGAAGCCCAGAGTGTTGGGTGGCCACAAGTGACACTGGAGGCAGCCAGCTCAGCAGCCAGGGCCAGTCCCACTTCACCCACCCCTCAACCACACCGTGGTGTCGGGAGGGGACTTTGCTGTGAGCCTGTGCACCCGAGAGGGGCTCTACTTGGAACTGCTGCTCTTAGCCTGAGAGAGGACATGGGTGTGCAGGAAAGACAGGGGCTAGAGGCCCTGGGGGGCAGAGGCAGAGGGTGGCAGGTTCTGAGCCTTGTGCTAGGTACTGCCACCCACATATTTTCCTGATGTCTATAATAGCCCTGCTGTTGGGGGCGGCAGGAGGAGACCTCCTTTTACAGAAGCTGAAAAAACTTGGCAAGGTTAAGCCCCCTGCCCAGAGTCCCACAGGTGGTAGAGGGGGAGCTGGAATTCAGACTCCATGGCTCGTTGTGTTCCCGAGGGGACCGTCGTCTAATCATCTCCCAGCTGTGCGCCCCGACCCCCAGCCACTCAGCCCACGTGCTTCAGGCCCTTCGATAATCTCCCCTTGACTGCTGGAGCTTCCTGGGGATTCAGAGTCGGGGTGAGGGGAGGCCAGAGAGAGTGGCTGGGAGTAAGGACGTGCTCCCAGAGAACTTTGTCCCTCCTCCCTACCCCCCATCTTGGGGCCACTTCACCTCCTCCTGGCAGGGACTCAGCCTTTCCCCTTCAGCACTGATGGTACCGCCGCACCCAGGAAAGGGGTGCAAGGTCCTTGGGAGTGCTTGGCAACTATCAAAGTCAGAGAAGGGAGGAGAGGGCCAGAGCGGAAGCCAGCAGCTTTCCTCAGTTTTGAGAAAGGGGAAACTGAGGCACTGAAAGATTTATGAGCCAAGCCAGGAGTGGTGGCGCGCACCTGTAATCCCAGCGACTCAGGAGGCTGAGGCAGGAGGATCGCTTGAGCCCAGGAGTTCAAGACCAGCCCGGGCCATATAGTGAAACCTCATCTCAGAAAAAGAAAGAAAATGAGCTAGACTGATTGGATGAGTCCTGGGCCCAGATGAGAAACTGCCCTAGACCCTCTGCGGTATGCACTGCTGCCCCCTACTGGTTACTCCAAGAAGAAACAGCTCGCATGTCCTGCACTGTGCTGGGCACTAGGGTGGGAGGGACTTGGAGAGGACCCAGGCGTGGGGTGCTCAGGTGCAGTGTCTATAATGCACAACAGCACATTAGATTAGGAGCAATCTAATCCAGCAGCAGCTCTCAACGGGGCGGCCCTGCACTTGGATTGTCACGGCCTGGGGGCGGGGGTCACTCCTGGCACCCAGTGTGTAGAGGTCAAGGATGCTGCTGAACATCCTACAGGGCACAGGACGGTCCCCCAGAACAAAGAACCATCTGGCCCAAAGTGTCTGTAGTGCCGAGGAGAAACCCTATAAGAGAGGGACAAGCAAAGTGCTCCTGGTGTGGGGGAGGAGGGGAGGGAGGAGGGGAGCTGGCAAGAGGGGCCGAGATTCATAGGGAGGGACGTGTAAGTCCTCAGTGGGGTAGGCCGGATGGAGCCTGAGGGGAAAGGAGAGGATTTGGGGACTTTTAGGGACAAGAGAGGAGCAAGAAGGTGAGGGGCTGTCAGAGGCTGGCTGAGTGGGAGAAGGCAGGGGATGGAGAGACTGACGCTGTGCCCCTCCCCAGGGTACATCCAGGCCTGCCGGGCACTCATGATCACCGCCATCCTCCTGGGCTTCCTCGGCCTCTTTCTAAGCATAGTGGGGCTGCGCTGCACGAACATTGGGAACATGATGCTCTCCAGGAAAGCCAAGCTGGCAGCCACCGCAGGGGCCCTACACATGTTGGCTGGTAACTGGGGAAGATGATGGGTGGGAGGCTGCACGGCAGTGGGGGTTGGGGTGGCCCTTGGTCACAGACCCTGGGTTCTTTGTCCTCATCTCCAGCCCCCTACTCCTGGCATTGCCTTGCCTTCCCTTGGCATTGACACCTGCCCTTCCCTCCCTCCCTGCTCACTCCACCCTCATCATACCCCCCAATCCCTTGGCTCAAATCAGCCCATCAGCAGTGATTCTTGAGCTCCACTATGAGCCAGGTGTGGGGAGGACTTCAAAGGTGAGAGTGAGCCTCTGCCTCCCAGAGCTTACATCCTGGCTGTGCGACCAGAGTTAGGCACACACATACAGAGCGCACAGTAACAGTGCCATAGGACTGGCCATCGCTTTGCAGCTTCCGTAACATTTCTGCACACATCACCTCACAATAAGCCCTTGATGTAGGGTGGGTATTGTTTTCCAGAGATAAAAGTTCAGGACAAGCCGCCAGTGGGTAGAGTGGTGCCAGCCCAGGGGTCGGCCTGGCTGTGGGCACTCCCTGCACCCAGCGGCTAAGGCCTGTCACAGGCTGCGAGGGCTTCCAGAGACGGTGGAAGCCGGGAGGACAGGGCCGGTAGGGCCCGTTGAGACAACTCCAGAGGTGGCCGGGCTTTCACAGGTGGGTGGGATTTGGATGCGGCACATTCCAAGTGAGGAAATGATATGACGGAGTGAACTAAGCATGTATGGGACCAAGAAGGGGGGAAAGAGGCCAGAGTGGTGGGAGGGGAGGAAGGTGGGATGGAGTCAGGGTCCTGAGTGCTGGACTGGGGAGTTTACAGTTGACCCCAGGAAGTGGGAAGGTTTATAAACTGGGGCGGACAGGAAGGCATTGGATGAAATTGCTGCTCTTGGACTTGATGCCCCGCGTTCTACTCTGGGCAGCCCCGGCCTTCCCCTCCCCTAAGCCCCCTCCCCGACAAACCCTGCCCCCTGGACCGCCGTCATCCTCCCGCCTCCGCAGGTGTCTGCGGGATGGTGGCCATCTCCTGGTACGCCTTCAACATCACCCAGGAGTTCTTCGACCCCCTGTACGCCGGAACCAAGTGAGTGAGGAGACCCCTCTCTCGGGACAGCGGGTGGGACTTGGCCCTGTCCCCACCCCCAGCCGGCGCCTCACCTCCAGCTCCCCCGCCACGTACTTGTCCCAGGTACGAGTTGGGCTCCGCCCTCTACCTGGGCTGGAGCGCCTCCCTGATCTCCATCCTGGGCGGCATCTGCCTCTGCTCCGCCTGCTGCTGCGGCCCTGACGAGGGCCCCGCCGCCAGGTGAGGGAAGGGCGCGCGGCGCGGAGGGGGGGCAGGGGGAAGCGGGCAGGGGGCGAGGCCACGCCTCCCTCTGACCCGGGCCCCTGCCGACAGCCCCCGGCTTGCCTACAAGGCCTCCGCGTCCGCGGTGCCCCTCGCCGCGTCGGGAGAAGAAGGCGACAGCAGCTTTGGCAAATACGGCAAAAACGCCTATGTGTAGGAGCTGCGGTCAGTGAGGCCCATTTTCCTTCCCACTGCCCCAGAGAGGGGTCGCCGCTGGGTCCCACCCTCCCAACAACAGCCTTAGGATAAGGCCACGCCCCAGGCTCCACCCCATGTCCTCAAGCCACGCCCATCTCTCGACCCGCCTCTCCAGTTGGAGCTACGCCCCGGCCAAGCCCCCTCGTCTTGCACTCCTGGGGCCTTCCAGGCTAAGAACTGCTCTGAGAAGTCCTTTTGCCTGGACCCCTCCTCGTCCATCGTCTGAGCCCGGGCTCTGGGATGTGAAGGGGACAGAGGTGTCCCCGAATGTGTGTATTATATATAAATACATGCATAAATAAATGTATATTGTGACTGTTCAGGGGTTGAGGGTGTCATGAAGCCGCTAGCCAAGCAAGGCATGGGTGGTGGCACCAGGGGTCAATTCAGTTCTTGGACCCAAGACTGCCACAGTCCACAACCTTTGGGTTGCCTCCTCCAGCAGAATAGAGAAGGGGCTACAAGTGATTTCAGGAGTGGCACATAATTACTGGTAAGAGTCATCAAGGAGCAGATAATGGGCAGCCATAACAAGCCTCTCTTTTTCCTCTCCTCAGCTGTACAAGGCGACAGTTGGTGTAGAGCAGAGCTGCTTTACCTGGGCCCCAGCGTGGGTATCAGGACTGCCAAGCCCCTTGAAATTCTGTGTCAAATTAACTGGGTTTAGTGCAAGCACATATCTCTGGGGAAGGTTCAACAGCTTCCAGAAAAGGCTCCAAAAGTCTGCCAGTGTGTGCGTGGCTCGACAGTGTCCAGCTCGGACCTGGTCCTGGATTGTGGGTGGGCTTGGCGCAGGCCCATTGGCACTGAGAAAGCTGCACCCGTTTGAGATAAAACAATAAGGCCACCAGAACAAAGCCTGACATCCTGTGAAGAGGAGGAGCGGGGCCCAAACCTAGCCAGCATCCTCCACAGCACTGACAAGTGACCAGTTGCTTGGGGGTGCCCTGGGTTCCCTCCCCTTTTCTCCCTCATCTCACTAACTTGCTCCCATCCACCCTCTCCCACAGAAGGAGCACCCACATCAGCATTCTGCAGGGGCCCTCTGGCCTCCCCTCACAAGCACACTCACCCCCAGTGTATTTTCACCAGGCTGGGCTTCAGGCACATCAAAGTCATCACTTTCCGACGAGGCTGCAGCTCCTGTCACTACTGTTTCCAGCATCACCAACCTGTCTGCTCCCCAGGCCTCAGACACACCTTCCCATCAAGGCTTCCTGCTGGGCTCCACACCCAGAAACACTGGTGCTTCCTGGGCACTCCCTACATGGAGGGTCCCAGGGCCGACAAGTCTGCGAAAACTTGTATATCCTACCCCTCCACACGCTGCTTTCGTAAAGTGTGCGGGCGTCCCATAGGCCAAGTCCAGAGTCCATGTGGAAGGGACTGCACAAGAGCCCAGGCACTGGGAAGCTTATGTCATGGAGACTCTCAGTGCAACACTCTATCCCTGCCAAGTCCTGGGCCACGTGACTTGCTTTGTTAGCAGATAGGGGACATCTCTCTCAAACATGAGACAGATGGGCCGGGTGCAGTGGCTCACGCCTGTAATCCCAGCTCTCTGGGAGGCAGAGGCGGGTGGATTGTTTGAGCTCAGGAGTTCGAAACCAGTCTGAGCAAGAGCGAGACCCCGTCTCTACTAAAAATAGAAAGAAATTAATTGGACAACTAAAAATATATAGAAAAAATTAGCCGGGCATGGTGGCGCATGCCTGTAGTCCCAGCTACTCGGGAGGCTGAGGCAGGAGGATTGCTTGAGCCCAGGAGTTTGAGGTTCCTGTGAGCTAGGATGACGCCACGGCACTCTAGCCCGGGCAACACAGTGAGACTCTTGTCTCAAAAAAAAAGATGAGACAGATGCCTTAAAAGTGTCTTACCATCCTGAAGGGCCAAGGGAGTGCCCCCCCACAGTGAAGGAGGACAAAATCCAGTTACAACTTCTGACACCCCCAGGTGCCTCCAACACAAGTCTCCTCCGCCCCACCCCACAGCCCCTTCCTCCTTTTCTGAATGCCAGCTTTGCTCCTCTTACCCCTTCCCCTCAGGAAAACCAGCCCAAGCCAAGCTTCACAATTGAGCACGGAAGTGTGTGCCTTAACATGGTCACTAGGTTGAGTCTTGATTTCTCCATCCATCACATGTGGTCACGCGACTATAAAGGGGTGTTGACACACATTTGCCCTTTTTCACATTTACTGAGCTGCTTCTCTGCTAGGAGCCAGAGTGGGCACCAAGACATGGTCCCTGCCCTCAAAGAACTCACAACCTAGGAGCGAACAGAAATGTAAACCGCTGTGGGCCAGGTGCTGGGGCTACTCCGAGGGAGCTGGCGGTGAAGCTCAACAAACCACTGCAGGTCTCGGGCGGTACCGACAGCTCTCATTCACTGAGGACTCACTGCATGCCAGGCCCTGCGCTGTGTGCACAGTCCCAGTTAATCCTTACAGCATCTGCGAGGTGGCTGTCACAAAGTCAGAAGTGAGGTGACCTGTCCAAGCTACACAACTGGTTAGTGGGACCAGGATTTCTCCAAGACTGGAGACACAACTTCCCTGCTTCCCAGAATCCTTGGCTATCCTAATTCCCATCAATAAAAACCAACACTCGTTGAGGTCTTTGGGAGTAAGTCCCCCTGTCCCTAGCCTTCCAGATCCTGGCACTAACCTCCTCTTCTCCTGTGTTCCTAGGAAAGGGTAGTGCTTCCCCTATCACATGACACTAGGTTTAGCTTCTGGAAGCTTTTGGCATAGTATAGATTTCCCAATGACCAGGTGTCTCCCAAGGTAGGGAAGAAGTCTCCCCTAGCACAAAGGAAGCTGGCAAAAATTGTTCAAGGTTTTCCCTGGGGAGTTATGGTTTCCAATGGGGGTCCAGAGATCCTGGAATCAGCTTCCTGGACATCGATGGGTGACAGTGGAGCCAACCAGCATCAGAGCAACAGGAAGCCCTTGGGGTCCGGCTCTGTCCTCTCAAGGTCATTCAGTGCATCACTGAGGAGACATCTTACACCAAGCAGAACCTACGTGACTCTTTGTAACAACAAAATACGAAACAAAGTCAGTGAAGTTAGGAAATAAACCGAGACAGTGCTGACAGTGCGAATCAGATGGGAGTCCTGAGGCAGGGCGCCAGAGAGCAGCTCAGGTGGTGTCATTCGGCCAGACCAGAAAGTCTTTCCCACTTTTATTTTCTTGCTTGAGTGTACTTGGAGGAAAAGATAAAAGGAAGGAGAGAAGGCTGAGGACCCCAGAGAGGCCCCTTTCCTGGGAATGACAATAAGCCTAGGTCAGAGGTGGCAGCCAGCAAACTGGACGCCTGGGGCCCAGTTACTGTCACTGCTAATGAACCATCCCAGGACTCAATGGCACACACCAGCTGTTTATGATCCTGTAGGTCAGGAATTTAGACAGGCACAACAGGGATGGCTCGTCTCTGCTCCGTGATGTTTAAGGACACAGTTGGGAAGACTCAAAACGGCTGAGGGTGACTTGATACCGGGGGCAGGAATGATGTGGCGGCACCTCCACTCCCATGACTGAGGCCTGCACTGGGAAGACTCAGGCTTGGCTCAGCTGGGCTGTCAATGGGAGCACCTGCACCCACTGGTGGCCTGAGCACTTGAGTGGCCTCTCCGTGTAGCCTGGCCTTCCTAACAGCATGGCAACTTTGGGATATTTGGATTTCCCACTTGGTGGCTCAAGGATCCAAAAGCAAGTGTCGTGGCCCACAAGGCAGAAGCTACACTGCCTTCACGACCCAGACTTGAAAATTACAAGGTCTTCGATTCTGCCATTCTCTCCTAGATCAAGCAGTCATAAGCCTGCCCAGATGCTAAGGGTCAAACACCCCACCTTTTGGTGGAAGGCCAAAGAATTTAAAGTCATTTTTTTTTTTTTTGAGACGGAGTCTCACTCTGTTGCCCGGGCTAGAGTGCCGTGGTGTCATCCTAGCTCACAGCAACCTCAAACTCCTGGGCTCAAGCAATCCTCCTGCCTCAGCCTCCCGAGTAGCTGGGACTACAGGCATGCGCCACCATGCCCGGCTAATTTTTTTTCCTATATATTTTTAGTTGTCCAATTAATTTCTTTCTAATTTTAGTAGAGACAGGGTCTCGCTCTTGCTCAGGCTGGTTTCAAACTCCTGAGCTCAAACAATCCACCCGCCTCAGCCTCCCAGAGAGCTAGGATTACAGGCGTGAACCACCGTGCCCAGCCTAAAGCCATTTTTAAAAGACACCACACCTAGATTCTCTCTAAACCCTGACATCATCCCTATCCAAAAAAGCTGTCACCAACATCACGTGCCCAGCAGCAAGTCTTCAGAGAAAGGGAAATCAGTTCCTCAGGAAAACACTGCGGACATTTGGGTCAGCTCCCAAGAAAGTCACCAAAAGCGGGAAAAGGAGTCTAAGAAAGCACCTAACACTGACATTGCTGGATCTCATTAATATTTTAATGAAGTTATTTGTTCGACAAGTACTTACTAAGCATCTGCTTTACTATGTGTTTAACAGGGTGTTGGGCCTTAAAACAGCAAGTCCATGGAGCTTACAAAATTACAGCTTGCAACCCACCTAGACAAGATGTAGGTATAAGTCCTAGTACCACCCAAGTCACAGCATCCAAGGCCACCAAGAACAGGAGCCTCTATACCATGAATTGCCCCCTGCTTCCCAGAAACTTCTGGGTTTTCTGTGCAGCTAATAACTTCACATACTGCAGCCCCTGATAACAGGGGCTTCCTAAGGACAACTGCTCTCTCAGCCTGGTGACACCAAGGACCGAGGCTCAACCTCTCCCATTTGGTTAAGTGCCTGACGACAAAGACAGGCTGGCCCCCTCTGCAGTACATTATCCTGCACCCGTCTCCCCAACCGTGGAACCAACTATACTTTCACAATATTCAGAGTAGCTGGAGAAATAAAAAGCAAACACAAAATCAATGACCAAAAAAAGACATAAAGCAGAAGCCAAGAAGGGCACAGATGTGGGGGTGGGAGGTGACAAAATCTCTCATGCTCAGGGACACAGAGGGGCAGACAGTGGAAGGGGTGAGTGGCAGGCAGGAGGAAGAGAGACGGGGCAGTGAGTAGGAGAGACGGGTGACCCATCACCCTCGCCCCCAAGCACCCCACGACCATACTGGCAGGCTCCTGGCACAAGGCCTTTTATTACAACAGCACTCAGTGGGCTCGGCCCACCTCCAGCCACAGTCCCCAGATGTGAGATTGGTCTTCCCTGGTAGGTAAAACACAGTTTTGTTGGGTGAGTGGCTCCTCCCTCAGTCCAGGGGAAGATCCCCCCTTCTGGTGATGCCTTTCAAAAGCCGGGTGACACATGGATGCCCTGCCTCTGACGCCCAGGCTCACACAGTCCACTTCAAACACCTGCAGACAGAGAGAAAGCCCAGGATGAGGAGAGAGGCCTGGGGACGCATGGGTGGAGCGGGTGAGGTCCCACACTCACCTGGTCTCCTGGTGGGTGCCCAGGCAGCGCACGGTGCAGTACCGGGCACCACAGCTGACGCAGGTATACGGGGAGGGGAAGCCGCAGACAGCACAGAAGGGGCGCTGGGGCCGTGACGGGGGGCCTGCACAGGCTGTCAGGTAGTTGGGGCCCTCAGCCACACTCAAGTTCTGCAGACAGGGGACAGGCTCTATGACTCCTCTGCACACCCACACTGCAAACACCCGCCAGGGACCAGGCTCTCCGCAGGCCAGTCCCTTCCCTGGGGGTCCTCCCAGGCTGGTGTCCATCTCACCTGCTCCTCCAGCAAAGCCTGAAAGTTTTTTCGGAAGCGAAGTTTAAAATGATCACCTCGAGTTTTCTTCTTTTTCTTTCCTAGGGGTCAAGGGCAATTAGTTGCTTGACACTTGCCAAGGAAGACTCCACCTTTCTGTGGCTGGTCACTCCCAGTACCCAAGTGCTCCCCTGGGTGCTCAGTCTGCCCCTCTCCTCCAGCCTCCGCCCCTCACCCCACTTCTCCAATCCCAGCCGACTGTCACCTCCATACCCCAAACCTCAGGCTTTATGCCAGAGCTCATCTACCCCATCTTCTCCAGCCTACGCACGAGAGGAACCTGAGGCACATAAACGCAACACACTGCTCACAGCCACAGGACCAGTCGCTGGCAGGGGCAGAAGGGGCTCCTGGGTCCTCCATAGCCCCGACCTGGGCAGACTCTTCTCCCTCCCTTCAGCCTTGTCCTACGGGGCCCGTCCCGCCCTCTGCCCTCCACCCGCCTCACCAGTGTCTGCATCGTCATCAAACTGAGGCAGCCTCTTGCCCAGCTGGGGCAGTCCTGCATGGGGGTCATCCTGGAAGTTGTCATTCTCCAAGGCCTCAAGCTGTCTGTTGATGCGACGCTGCCGGGCTGCCCGGTCCAGCACCCGCCGCTGCCCAGGGTCCTGGGAACGGACTAGATGGGGCAGGGCAAGCAGAATTATGGGGGACATGGAAAAAAGAGAAGCTGGTGGCCTCAGCATTAGGCGGTATATGAAAGATGCCCCCGGGGTGGGGAGCCACAGTTCTCTGATCTCATCCAGTCACCAAGCCCTCAGTCCCCCAGGTCTTCTCCCAGGAAGGCAGCTCTCTGCCTTCGCTTCCTTCCCAGCGGGCTGAGACAGTTTCAGTCTCTCATGCCTGCTGTCTAGCCCTTTGGCCAGCCCTTCATCCCAATCCCAGACCCAGTCGGTGAGAAGCCCCTAGAGACATCCCGCTGCTGGCAGGAGCAGGGATCACACGACCGTGCGGACTTTGGAGACCACTACGCACTCAGGGCTTCCAGGCTCTACCGGGACCTTAATGCATGTGGCCTTACTGCTCAGCAATCTCGTTTCCTACCCCAAAGCAGTCTGGGTCCATCCAGATGTAGACATGCCCATCCATCAGCCCACCAGCAAACAGGATTCCAAGTGGAAGCACCCCCTGCCCCAAGCCCCACCACAAAACCCAACCCTCCAGCTCGAGTTCCTCCCCTCCCTCCGGCATCATCAACCCTTTCGCCTCAGCTGGCACATTCCCTTCAACAGAAAAGCCTGCTGCACTCTCCGGGGTCTTCCCGCCCTCATGGCTACTCTCCTTTCAGAGTGGCCACATGATGTGTCCTTGCCTCCCATCTGCTCTCCAACCCCATCAATCTGATTCCCACCTGAAAGCCGGTGGGGACCACCCACACTCAGGGTGCTGGTGACCTCCTAGGGCCAACTCCAGTGTGCATTCCTAGACTCCTCCTGATTCCAGCTCCCCACCCCCTGTGACTGTGCTGACTACCTTCCCTGGGTAGAAAGAGCCCCTTTGTTTGCCTCCTTGACAGGACTCCAGTCCTCCTCCTCCTCCAGGTCTGGCAAAGTTTTCCAGTTGGCTGCTCTCCCTGTCTCTACAAAGGTGGCTGTCCCTCTTGTCTCCCTCAGTCCACACACTCTTCCTGGGATTTCTAATCCAAACACATGGCTCTATCACCTATGAGCAAATGACTCCAAAATGATTCTCTCAACCCAGAACCCTTCCTCAGCTCTAGAACTGGCCGTGCAGCTGCTGCAGGAAACCACCTGATGGTCCCACCAACGCTGCAACTCAATATTAAAAGTCTCCCCATCTGAAGTCTGCTTCTCCTCCTGCAGAGTCTAAGTGAACGGAAACATCTATGCAGATGTCCAGACTAGAAACCTAGGAATTATTTTAAACCTCTTTCCTCATTACCATATTAGCTGTTCACCAGGTTCTGACACTACTACACAAAATATCTCTTTACTCAATAAATATTCATTTCGGTGCCTGTGAACCATAATCCTAATAGCAGGAGCAGCACCAGTAGCAAAAACTTGCCGGGCACCTACTATGAGCCAGGTATTAACTAAGAGCTTTGCATAAACTGAACCACTTAACTCTCACAACAATCCTATGAAATAGCTATCATCATCCCCAGTTAAGAAATAGTCCAAAGTTCACACTGCTCATAAGTGGCATAGCTGAAACCCAGAACTGCCCAGCATCGAAACACATGATCTTGATCACCATACCATATATACACTGTCTTCTTTCCACGCGCCAGGTGGTGCCCTAGGTTCTGGGAATGCAAGAGCTTACTGTCTAGTGTGGAACACAAACGAGTCAACAAACAAGCACAGTACACACAGTATATGCTGGGAGAGGGAAATACAAAGTGCTACAGAACACAAGACAGAAACACCTAACTTAGCCTTAGGGCAGTCAGGGAAGACTTCCCAGAAGAAGGTAAGTCTAGGTTAAGCCCTAACATGAACAGCTTGGTTGGGGAAGAGAGCAGAGTGTTTCACGCCTCAGTGCCAAACATGAGAGAAGGCCTGGATGGGAGACTGTAGTGACTTTCAAAACACTGAACGAAGTTCAGTATGGCTGGTGTATAAAGTGGGGGAGGGGAGGAATATAAAAGAGGCAGATCCTTAGGAGTCTTAAGTGCCTAAAGGAATTTGAATTTGTGGATTATATGATGAGAGTGATAGAGATCCAGTGAGGGGTTTTAAGAAAAGAGTGAAATTATTGGATTTACTGAATGTCAATCTGGCACAGTCCCAACCCTCATCATCTCTTTTTATCTGGACTATTCAGTAACCCGAACTGGACTTCCAGCCTCTAGACTTGTGCTATACAATAAGGTAGCCACTAGTCACATGTGGTTATGTAAATTTAAATTTAGATGAATTAAGATCCAATAAGGGTGTGCTTGCTCACTCCTGTAATCCCAGAATTATGGGAGGCAGAGGTGGGAGGATTGCTTGAAGCCAGGAGTTCTAGACCAGCCTGGGCAACATAGTGAGACCCTGTCTCTAAAAAAAAAAAAAAAAAAATTTTGGAGACAGAGTCTTGCTCTGCTGCCCGGGCTCGAGTCCCGTGGTGTCAGCCTAGCTCACAGCAACTTCAAACTCCTGGGCTTAAGCAATCCTTCTGCCTCAGCCTCCCAAGTAGGGCATGTGCCACCATGCCTGGCTAATTTTTTCTATATATTTTTAGTTATCCAGATAATTTTTTTCTATTTTTAGTAGAGACGGGGGTCTCACTTTTGTTCAGGCTGGTCTTGAACTCCCAGAGTACTAGGATTACAGGCATGAGCCACCGCGCCCGGCCACAAATTTTTAAATAAATAAATGAAAAGCTCTCCAATCTCCAGGTGATTCTCATATACAACCAAGGCTGCAAACTTTAGTCCTAATTTATTTAAAGTCAGCCCAATTCCAATGTTAGTCTTCCTGCACAGGCTGCTCCTCTCCCCAAGAAATTACTGGAGTTGGAATATTCCCATCAGACAGGAAGGCTAAAATAAAAGTCTTGTCAGCCAAGCTTCTGAGATAGCAGATAATACTGTCATTTAAAAAAAAATTAAACTTAAAATTCCTCAGTTGGACTAGCCACATTTCAAGTGCTCAACAGCTAGCTACATGTGGCTAATACCCCATACTGAACAGCACAGATTAAGATCATTCCCATCATCCATAAAGTTCTACTGGCTAGTGTTGTTCTAATTCCTCCAATCCGTCCTCTGCACTGAAGCCAGAACTGCCGTTGTAAAAGATAAATTCGCTTTTGTCACTCCCTTGCCTTAAAAGCCATAGATGGCTCTCCGCTGCCTCTCCATAAAACTCCTCAGCAGTGTATATGCCTTTTAAAATATAACCTTTCCCCAGCCCTCCGGCCTTTCTTATTTCTCTGCAAGCTCCAAACTGTGAACCTGGCTTCCTAAGCGACTTGCTTTTTCCTTCTTGCCTTTGCACGTACGGTTTCCGCTGCTGGAGAGGAGTTCCCGTGCACGTACACCAAGTGGAATTTTAATTCGACTCAATTAAAGCGTTTTTGTTCTTTTTCCTTCTGCGCCTTCCCGGTCCCCGCCTTCCCAGAAGCTGGCTTGGGTGCCACTCCTCCCGCGACCACGTACTGTGCGGCCTCCCTTTGCCATAGCGCCTATCACTCTGAAATGCAGTGGTAGGTCTGCGCGTCTGTCCCCCATTCCACCCCGCCCCGGCTGCAGAAAGCCAGTTCTCGGAGAACTGGGATCTTTCTACTGTCCATCTCCTGCACCCAGCTTGGAGCAGGCGTCAATAAAACGTGGTTTGGGGGCTGCCCCAATGCCAGAACCCGAGGGTTGGGTAAGGGATTTGAGACGAATAACTGGGTGAGGAAATTCTAGGCCTGGTTTGGACTTAGGAGGACGGGGGCGAACCGCGGGGGGTTCACATACCCGAGGTTTTCTTCTCCACCATTTGCACAGCACAGCTGCCGGAAAAGCCTACTGCGCACGCCTACTAAAACCTACGGCTTAGGTGGGGCACCACCACTTCCGGCGGCTCGTATTTCTGCGCGTGCGCAGAACGATTCCCCACCGCCTAGACTCCTCGCGTAATGTTCCCTTGGAGACAAGAAAGCTTTCCGCCATGTTTTATAGGGGCAAAACTCCTTCCGGCGTCAGTGTGGTTGTGTAAATTTTGTGGGTCACTTTAAAGAGGTGGTGCCAGGGGTCTTTCGAAAAACATTATCTTCTTTTGGTCCTTCTGAAGATGCCATCATCACAGAGGCAGCCCCTGAAGCTTCTCCCGGGGCAGTAGAGGTGGTGGGCCGGACCGTTAAAGAAAGTGGCAGGCTTTAGTGGGCAATCCGAGAGGTCTCTGGTGGCCCTCTTCTGAAAGCTCAACGCCCTAGCTCCCGCGGGGCCCAGTCCCGCCGCAGACTCCGCAGCCTTCTGCCTCCCTACCGCCCCCGCTCCTCCACTGGTCACCGCTCCGCGCGCCCCCAGAGCCTCGCTCTCCCGGTCTTCCGCCCGGCTGTTCCGGGCTGGGCTGTGGCAAGGACCCGCCTCCGCGTCCCGCCAGACCCTCCGCGATGGGTCACTTCCCCTCTCTGGGTTTCAGTTTCCACATGTGTCAGGTGGGCAGAGAGCCCGGCTGCTTCGGACCTAAGTCCGGGTCTCCCGCTAGCCCGCCCGAGCTCCCGCCCTCCCCCGCCCCCGGCCGGGCGCCCGGGACAATCCTCGCCTTGTCTGCGCCGCCAGCATCTCGAGTTTTCTGTAGCCTCCGGATACGCCTTTTTTCCAGGGCGGAGCCCCAGCCCTGCTCCTCCTCGCTGCGGGCCGCACAGTAGTCCGGGGTTCCTCCTTCTCCAGAGTTGGGATCCAGGCGCACAGCCGATCCCGGTGCGGACCTGTGTGCGGTCCCGGCCCGCTCCCCGTCATGGCCCGGTCGGGCCCGGGATCCCGGCTCCTGCTGCCGTTGCTGCTGCTGCTGCGGCCGCCGCCTCCTGCTGCCTCAGCCTCCGACCGGCCACGGGGCAGCAGTCCCGTCAACCCAGGTGAGAATCCGGGAACGGCCGGCCCGACCAAGTGGGCGCCGGGCTGACGTGTCTGCCAACCTGGTACGAGAGGGGGTCGGGGGCTCCCGGGGATGTCCTGCCTCTGCCCTGCCTAGCGCGCTCCTTGGAACTGAATCTCGCGGCCCCTCGGCCACTCCCCACCCTGAACTGGGACTTCCAGCCTCCCCGGGCGAACTGACCCCGAATTCCTTGGTGTCACTCCCACCCCGCTCTCACTGGGGTCGAAGTGACCCGAGGTGGAAAGAGTTTAAGAGGGAATGGGAAAGGAGAGAAAAATGAGGGTAGTAGAGTCAGAGGGAAGTGGAGGGTGCCTGCGAAGAGCGAGACACGTGGGGCATGGGGCGGGGGTGGGTTCCAAGTGCCAATTCCCAACTGGTGACAGAGAAGCTGCTGGTGATCACCGTGGCCACGACTGAGACGGAGGGATACCGGCGTTTCCTGCAGTCTGCTGAGTTCTTCAACTACACTGTGCGGGTGAGGAGGGGGAAAGCCCTCAGGGCCCTGGGAAGGGGTCCCCGCAGGAGGGGTGGGCTGAGGGCTGGATGTCTGGGTCCCCACGGTGAGCCTGGTCAGGAGCTCCCCCAGTCTTGGCCGGCTGAGCCCCTCCCTGGCATGGCGGGTCTCCCCCACAGACCCTGGGCCTGGGAGAGGAGTGGCGAGGGGGTGATGTGGCCCGAACCGTTGGTGGAGGGCAGAAGGTCAGGTGGCTAAGGAAGGAAATGGAGAAACATGCAGACCGGGAGGATATGGTCATCATGTTTGTGGACAGGTAAAGGGGCTGGGGCTGGGGAGAAAGGAGGGGGAACATAAGGAAGACTAAGGATGCTGAGGTTCCTAGTGGCCTCCTGCTCATTCTCCCCTTCCATGCCTAGCTACGATGTGATTCTGGCTGGCAGCCCCTCGGAGCTGCTGAAGAAGTTTGTCCAGAGTGGCAGCCGCCTACTGTTCTCTGCAGAGGGCTTCTGCTGGCCCGAGTGGGGGCTGGCAGAGCAGTACCCTGAGGTGGGCACGGGGAAGCGCTTCCTCAACTCAGGTGGTGAGTGGCAGAGTGCCCGAGGCAGAGGGGCCAAGAGCAGTGGGGCATGGCCATGTTCCACGTGCCTGAGGGCTGGAGAGGGTGTGGGGACAGGCCCTGGGGGTCCTGGGGTCAACACCTTCCCTCCCTTCCAGGATTCATCGGCTTCGCCCCCACCATCCACCAGATCGTCCGCCAGTGGAAGTACAAGGACGATGATGACGATCAATTGTTCTACACGCGACTCTACCTGGACCCAGGACTGAGGGTGGGGAGGGACAGAGAAGTGGAGGCGCCCTGCAGCCATGTGGGAGTGGGGGCTGGATGGGAGAGGAGGGCTGAAGGAGGGTGGGGAAAAATGTAAAGAGAAAAGAGAGAGATGATGTCCTCCCGCCCTTCTTCCATTCACTGTCCCGTCTCATCCCATCCCATGCAGGAGAAACTTGGCCTTAATCTGGACCATAAATCCCGGATCTTTCAGAACCTCAATGGGGCTTTAGGTGAGGAGGAAGGCCATGGGAGGTGGGCGATGAGAGGGTCCTGAACCAGGAGGGGCCCCTGGTGGGACTGGGCTGGGTGAGTACAGCTCACCTTTTACATTAATGTCACGGAACACCTGGGTGGCTGAGCGTGTGCGGTGCACCGTGCTCATAGTACGAAGTCGCAGCAGTAGCAGCAGAGGCTTGCCCCGCCGAGGCACCAGGCTGGGGCTGTACTTGTGTGATTTCGTTTAACACAGGGAAGGTCCCTGGTTATCTACCTTGTACAGAAGAAGAAACTGACTCCCTGAGGAGCTGTGACTCACCCAGGTCACACAGGAAGTAGGTGGTGGAGCTCTCCAGGGTAGCAGCCTGGTCAGAAGCCGAGGGCTCCTGCCACGACAGAGCCACAGTCCAGGATGACACAGGCATCCCTTTATCCCTGAGAGAAATTGAGACACCCCCCCCCCATATTTAGAAGAAGCTGTTGCTTGACAGCTTCCAGAGAAAGGGAGTCTAAAGCCTGGCCTTTCTTCCCCAGATGAAGTAGTTTTAAAGTTTGATCGGAATCGTGTGCGAATCCGGAACGTGGCCTATGACACCCTCCCTGTTGTGGTCCATGGAAACGGTCCCACTAAGGTGCTCCCAGTGACCCCTTCCCCTACCCTTCCCCAGCCACTAGACACCTGTAACCCTTCTAAGAAGTCGGCCCTCCCCAGCCCCCGCAGCAGAGGAACTGGGAGAGGCTCCCCCTCCCCCTGCTGCTCTTTCCCCACCTGTCCCCTGACCCCTCACCGCTGCCCCTAGACTCCTCTACCTCAGCCATGCATGTCTCTCCCCAACAGCTCCAGCTGAACTACCTGGGAAACTACGTCCCCAATGGCTGGACTCCTCAGGGAGGCTGTGGGTTCTGCAGTCGGGACCGGAGGACACTCCCGGGGGGGCAGGTGAGGGGCTGCCAGGGTGGGGCATGAGGGCACTGGAGTTGGGGTACAGGCAGAGCACACTGGGCAGGGGTGGGGGCAGAGCTCATCGGTCCCTCACACCTGGTTGGGGTTTGGGGGCAGAGGGCAGGCTCAGGCTCTCCTCTGAGCCCCATCGTGTTATATCTTCCAGCCTCCCCCCCGGGTGCTTCTGGCCGTGTTTGTGGAACAGCCTACCCCGTTTCTGCCCCGCTTCCTGCAGCGGCTGCTGCTCCTGGACTATCCCCCTGACCGGGTCACCCTTTTCCTACACAACAATGTGAGACACCCTGGCAGCCCCTCCCTTGTGGACCTTCCCTGGGGACAGGGAGGGGACAGTCATGTGGGTCCTCCCTGGGGACCCTTCCCCTGCCCTGATCAGAACTCCTGCCCCCAATCCCAAACTCCTTCCCTCTCGCCTCCCTGCCAGCATCCCTGCGGCACCATCTTTCTGCCATCTCCCCTGTCCCCAGGAAGTGTTCCATGAGCCCCACATCGCAGACTCCTGGCCACAACTCCAGGACCACTTCTCAGCTGTGAAGCTGGTGGGGCCAGAGGAGGCCCTGAGCCCGGGCGAGGCCAGGGACATGGCCATGTGAGTGGGTGCTGGGCGGGGAGGGCGGCAGGGAGGAAGGTGGGCTGGGGGTGCTGCCACCTGCTGCATGGCCCTTGCCTCACCTGCCACCCAGCCAGCCCCTCCTGGGCCTCTGCACTTTCGCTCTCGCAGCCCCACGTGACTGTCCCCTCCCTTGTGACTAGCAGAGGACCTGGGGGTGGGAGCTTTCCCCTCATCCTACAGCCCCTCCCCCCACCTGCCTGTGTCAACTTCTCTCTGTCACCTCCAGGGACAGTTGTCGGCAGGACCCCGAGTGTGAGTTCTACTTCAGCCTGGATGCCGACGCAGTCCTCACCAACCCACAGACCCTGCGCATCCTCATTGAGGAGAATAGGTCACTTGTCCCCCTCAGTCAGGGCACCCCTGTAGTTCCTGGGACCCCACTCCTTCCTGGGGACGGGCCTCCCTGAGGCCTGCTCCCCTCTGCCCAGCCATCACGCCCACCTGTCCGCAGGAAGGTGATAGCGCCCATGCTGTCGCGCCATGGCAAGCTCTGGTCCAACTTCTGGGGAGCGCTGAGCCCGGATGAGTACTACGCACGCTCCGAGGACTATGTGGAGCTGGTGCAGCGGAAGCGAGTGTGAGTCCTGCCGGGCCACCAGCCAACCCCCCTCACCCACCCCGTCTGACCTGGGGCCCGTGCAGCCCCCAGCCCCTTGCCGTTAAGGGTCCAGGCTACTCACCGGTCGGATGTGCCATGGCTTGGGGTGGTCATGACCAGTCATGCCTAATGGGACATGGGCAGGCCTTGAGGATCAGGGACTGCAATGTCTTGAGAGAAGGATTTCCTGGAATGAACTGGGAAGAATTTGGGGGCCTCCAACCTCATTGACCCTGGCATTGGTGCCTCCAGGAGCGTGTGGAATGTGCCCTACATATCCCAGGCGTACGTGATACGCGGGGAGACCCTGCGGAAGGAGCTGCCCCAGAGGGAGGTGTTCTCAGGCAGTGACACTGACCCGGACATGGCCTTCTGTAAGAGCCTGCGGGACAAGGTGAGCGGCTGTCAGGCCTGGGGTGCAGTGCTTGGGGGCCGGGTGCTGGGAGGCAGGGAGCAGCCCTCTGGCATCTGCCGCATGACCCCCACCCTCCCACCCCAGGGCATCTTCCTCCACCTCAGCAATCAGCAGGAATTCGGCCGGCTCCTGGCCACCTCCCGGTACGACACAGACCACCTGCACCCTGACCTCTGGCAGATCTTCGACAACCCCCTCGTGAGTGGGGCCTCACTCAGAGCGTGCACGTTCCCCACCCTCAACCCAACACTGCCTGGGCTGGGAGTGAAGGGGACACATGTCTGACATGCTCCACCCCCCACAGGACTGGAAGGAACAGTACATCCACGAGAACTACAGCCGGGCCCTGGAAGGGCAGGAGATGGTGGAGCAGGTGAGCCAGCTCAGGCCCCCGCCTGCCCCATGGCCAGGGCATCTGCCCTTGCTCCCCGCCATCGCCTGGATTAACCATTTTCACCCTGAGCTCCCTGCTCAGGCAAGATGGAGGCAGGTAGGGCTCCAGCCCCACCCCCGGCATTCATCAGAGGGACTCCTCTTGCCATTGTGGGTGCAATCACATCTTTAACGAGGGATGCATTGATGTAAAGAAGTTCGGAAACCACGGTCCCAGCACCCAGGCTTCTGGGACCCTCCTGCCACCTGTGCTGTGCCACCCTCAGCCTGGCCTGTCCCCAACTGCTCTCATCCCACCTTCCGTCCTCCTCCTTGCTCTGTCCCGCCTGCATGTGCCGCCTGTCCCCTTCCCATGTTCAGCAGCATCATTCTAGCCCTGTTCTTCCCCTGCCCCTGTCCTCAGCCATGCCCAGATGTGTACTGGTTCCCGCTGCTGTCAGACCAGATGTGCGACGAGCTGGTGGAGGAAATGGAGCACTACGGCCAGTGGTCAGGAGGCCGGCATGAGGTGGGGGCTGGGCAGAGAGGGATGCGTGGTCTGGTCCAGGGGCAACGGAGTCAGGAGAGTGGGAGCAGTGAGGGGTACCCAGAGTGGGAGCAGCCCCTGGTGGTACAACTGCTGTCATTCATTCAAGAAATATTTACTGGGGCACTGCCCTAGACAGAGCCGTGCAGTGATGACTTGTGCCAGCCGGGCTCTGCCCTCCCGTAGGCAGCAGTGGTCACCCGGCTTCTAAGGCTGTAATGGGCAGCCCAGGTGCTGTGGGAGCCGCAGGGCGGCCTTGGCCCAGACTTGGGAGGACCAGGGGTCTTCACAGGCAAGGTGACATCTTAGCCAAGACTTGAAGGGCCAGTAGCAGTTAGTCAAGCTGAGAAGTAGCAGAGAAGACTTTTCCAGATGGAGGGAGCACAGGTTTTAAGGCCTGGGGGGCAGAAGGGGGAAGAGTCTGGCACTGCTACGAGGGAGGCCACACCCAGAGGGCATGGGGGGTGGCTCAGTGCCCACTGGCCACAGGATTCCAGGCTGGCTGGAGGCTACGAGAACGTGCCCACCGTGGACATCCACATGAAGCAAGTGGGCTATGAGGACCAGTGGCTGCAGCTACTGCGGACTTACGTGGGGCCCATGACTGAGAGCCTGTTCCCGGGCTACCACACCAAGGTGGGCCGCCAACCTGCCGCTGCCTCCTCCACCCGCCCTACCCAGTCTCAGGCTGGACTCTCCCCACAGAGCTCTTTCAGCCCCCATAGTGTCTGGGGCTCCATGGGATCTCCATGGCATCCAGTCCCCAGGCATGACACTGTAGAGGGTGGCCTGGGGAGGGGAGCAGCCAGGCTGAGACCACTCAGGGGCCTCTTCCCCAGACAGGGCTGTCATCTCCCCAGAAGACCCCCTGGACCTCACGGCCATCCCTGCCACCTCTTCTCTTGTGTCCCCCAGACTCGGGCAGTGATGAACTTTGTGGTCCGCTATCGGCCGGACGAGCAGCCCGCTCTGCGGCCACACCACGACTCATCCACCTTCACCCTCAACGTTGCCCTCAACCACAAGGGCCTGGACTACGAGGTGCGCCTGCCCCTCCACACATGCGCTTGTCCTCGAGCCCCAACATCCCCCCAGAGCCCCTGCACGCTCCCCTCAGCTGCCTCCCTGCCTGTGGCCTGGCCTTTTCCCATTTCCTAGTTATTTAGTGAGTGTCACCTCCCGAATCCCTTCCTCTGGGTTTCCCTTGTCTGGGGGACCCATACCCGCCCTCCCCACTTACCTGGCTGCCCCACCCCCTCCTACCTGCCCGCTCCCCAGGCCCCACATTTGCCTACTCCATTTGTTCCCTTCTCCTCTTCCCAGGGAGGTGGCTGCCGCTTCCTGCGCTATGACTGCGTGGTCTCATCCCCAAGGAAGGGCTGGGGGCTCCTGCACCCTGGCCGCCTCACCCACTACCACGAGGGGCTGCCCACAACCTGGGGCACTCGCTATATCATGGTGTCCTTTGTTGACCCCTGACACTCAACCACTGCCAAACCTTCCCTGCCATTGTGCCTTCGTGGGGGGGACCTCACCCCATCCTTGGAGAGGGGGTCTGTCCATCTCCTCACTTCCTGAGTGTACGTTCTCTGTGCCTGGGACTGAATGTGTCACCTTAGCCCCCAGCACACAGCCCTCTCAGGAAACTCCTGGAGCCCCCATCCCTCCCCTCAGCCCCAAAGAGTTCAGGGGGACAGGGCTTCTGGGGGTCTCCATGTGATAAATTATTAAGGTTCCTCAGTCTCCCTCCCAATAAAGGAGGATTTTTAAATCTCGAGTCCGTTTGTCATCTTTCACCTCCTACCGACTCATCTCCCCTCCTGCCACCCAGAGTAGGGGACCCTGAAAAGGGGAGAGAAGAGGAAAAGGGAGGAGCAGGATGTTCCCCGTGAGGGAACCTAGAAGCTTCCCTCCCCTTCCTTGCCCGAGCTGGGGAAACAGTCAGGAGAAGGCCCAGACCTTCCCAGTCCAGGCTCAGATGAAACACCACCCCCTGCCCAGCCTGAAGGCTTCTCACTGGTCCTCTTATCCCTTGATAGCATGATCTTCCCTGGGTGAAGGGTGAGGTGGCACATCCCTGGGCTGGGGGCCAGGGACAGGCTAGGGGAAAGAAGTCCCCCTGGAAGCATGTTTTCTAATGATGGAGGCCTGTCTTCGACCTAAGCTGCTAGTGGGGTGGGCTCAGGAAGGGGGTCCCCAGATGACCGTCATCCCCAGGAAGCTTCCTAGATGGTAGGAGTGATGAGTGACCTGGAAGAGGAAGGGACAGACCTCCTGAGAGCAGGTCTTGCTTCCAGCCTCTGGGGAACCAGCAAGCCCTCACCCAAGGCCCTTGAGGTGCCCTGGAGGCAGCAAGTCTTGCTGCTCTGGCTTGGTCTCTCCCAGCCTGGCACTGAACTCTGAATTTATCTCTCAGCTGTTCCCCCCAGGCGTCTTGCCACCCACTGCTAGAGTCCCCTTCTCCCTCCCTGCTGCCCAGCCTCCAGGGCAAGCCTCCTTTGGGAAGCCTGCCTTGTGGCCTGGCTGGGCTGCCTTTCAGTGTGGATGGAGCATCTTTCTGGCCAGACTTAAATACATACCCTCATCCCCTTTGTCACATGCCCTGTGGATGGCAGTTGCTGAGCAGGGACAGGAGAAAACTCCTCTTGGCAAGGTGCCCTCCCACAGAGGCCTGAGCTGCTCCCACAGGCTTGGGCCTCGGAGGCCAGGCGCCGGTGACTGTGGGGAGCCCTGCCCTTCCTGGTGCACCCACTTGCTTGGGCCACCTCCCACTGTCCCACACCTCCATTTGCCTGGCCCCTCAGGAGGCCCAGGGCCCTGAACTCCACAAAGTTCAAACACCTCCCTGTAGGCTCCTGGCCACACCCCTGGTTTGGGCCCTTTGGTCATAGCCCTGTGTACTCGGGTTGGGATGAACCCATCCTTCCCCAGCTCCCATGGCTCCAGTGTGCAGGGCAACAAAGGAGGTGGGAATGGGGGTGGCACCAGGGCCAAGGGTCAGGGCCAGTGGGGTGGGCCAAAGGGGGGGTACTTAAAAGCTGGAGGTGGCCCCTGTGTGACTGCCACACACAGTATCATGGCCTCCACCAACCTCCTCCACCGGGGTCTGCAAGTGTTCGCCGTGCTGCAATGAGTCCTCTCCTTCCTGGGGCTTGGTGAGTCCCCAAGGCTGAGGATCCGGGTGGGCCCCAGCACCTGGCACTCTGCTTCCCCATTACCCCAAGGGAGGAGGTGGTGGGATCTCTGGGGTCCTTGAAGGAATCTGGGGAGCAGATGGGATGGAAGGACCCAAATGCCATGGAACTAGAGAAGTGGGGGCAGAGGGGAGGTTTGGGCTTAAACATCCAGGTTCTTAAACAGCCCACCCCCATCTTCCAGCACAGGTGTGCCCGGCAGCCTTGCTCCTTGCATTCCTAAGGCGGGTCTGGACCCTGGTGGTCCTCTACCTGCTCTGGTTCTACGGAGCCAGGGACACGCCCAGGGCCGGAGGCCGCCGCTCTGCCTGAGTCCGCACGCATCTGGGCGGTGTGGAGACATTTCGGTGACTACTTCCCCATCTCAGTGAGGCCACCGGGCAGGGGGCACTGGTGTGCTGGGTGGGCCTGGGGCTTCAGAATAGACTCGGGCTCCTCATCAATCTCACAGGTGGGTTGGAGTGCCTGCCCTCTGCTCCCCAGCTGGTTAAAACCACAGAGCTGGATCCCTCCCGGAACTACGTCTTCTTCGGCTTCCACCCTCACGGGGTCCTGTGCTTGCGGGCCTTCAGCAACTTCTGCAAAGAGGCCACAAGCTTCTCCGGCCTCTTCCCAGGTCTCTGGCCGCACCTGCTCATGGCTGCCCTGTTGATTCCACCTTCCTCTCTTCCGGGACTATATCATGTCAAGTGGTGTGGAGGGGTCGCCCCTGCTGTCACCTCCCGCCGCACCCTCCTCCTGTCTGGGGGCTCCTGGGCCCAGCTCTACTTTCTCAGTGTCCCCCCACCCCCGCCCCTGTCTTCTCTCCAAGGCCGGGGCATCGGGTCCCCCAGCCTCTGCACTCTCCCCCAGGTTTGGTCTCCTCTGACAAGGCCAGAGCTGCCTATCTGTTGTCCTGGCCTGGGGGCGGCCAGGTGGCCGTCCTGGCCGTGGGAGGGCCCTTGGAGGCGCTGGAGGCAAAACACGGAGCGCTGAGCTTGCGGATCCGGGATCAGAAGGGGTTGGTGAAGCTGGCGCTGGAACACGGGTGAGGCACCGGCTGGTGGCGGGGCGGGGAGGAGCGCGGCGCCCCCGGGGCGGGAGTCAGCCGCGCCTGCTCCCCCAGGAACTCCCTGGTGCCTGCCTTCTCCTTCGGGGAGAACGAGCTCTTCCAGCAGTTCCCGAACCCGCCAGGCTCGTGGTTGCCGCTGGCTCAGGAAGCGCTGCAGCCGCCGCTGAGCGTGGCGCTGCCGCTGTTCCACGCCGGGGGCTGCAGCTGCCCTTCCGCTGGCCCGTCCACACCGTCGGCGAGCCCGGCCAGCCCCGCGCCCCGCCCCTTGCCGCCCCCTGAGCTCTGTCTCCAGCGACCGCCGCGGGCGGGCGGCGGATGCCAGAAAGCAGCCCCAGCCCCCGTTCCGCCCTCAGTGGGCGCCGCGATCCCGGTGCGGCGAAGCCCGCGGCCCGGCCGGGCCCAGGTGGACGCGCCGCACGCGCTCTCCGTGGAGCGGTCACGCGGCTGTTCGAGGAGCACAAGGCGCGCTACGGGGACAGGCACCACCTGGTCTCGGCTAGGCGCACCGCCGCCGCCTCGTCCCACCCTGTCCCCTCGGTGGCTGCGGGCGGGGGAGTGAAATTAAAGGTGGGAAACCGACCAGAGGCGTTCATGTGTTTGTGCACGGCGGAGGCGGCCCCGGGTGCGCTGTGAGGCCAGGGGCCGCGCGGCCCGGGTCGGTGGCTCCCAGGTGGCTTTGTCACTCCCGGAGACATGCAAACCAGTTGGGCGCACGCTGGACACATTGCAGATGCAACAGCCTCAGCTGGACTCCTGGTCCCCGCCAGCGCCTGGACCCCGTGGACGGGCTGACTAGCTGCCTTTGTTCACTCCCTGGGCCGCCCCTTGCAACACTCCCTTCGCCCCCTCCCAGTCCCGCCCATGGCCAGCCCAGACCTATTTACTGACTGAGGAAATTCGAAGACCAGTCTGAGAAGGAGCCTGGAGACATCTGGGGCTCCAGATCCTGATACTCACACTCCAACACTTGCCCCAATACGCAGCGTTCTGGGAGGCGATCTGCAACCCTGCCAGTCCCCAAGCGCTGCCCTCTCGGGCCAGAAATTTTCCCAGGCTCTCCCCCAGACCTTCACCTTCCTCCTCTGCTCTCTGGAATCCTGCTGGCAGAGGGGAGGCACTGGAATGGAAGTCTCTGGAGCCTCGCAACCCTCTGTCACCTCGAAAACCCCATGGAAGCACTATCAAGAAATAATGGCTGCCTACCAATTTGTGTTTACTTTCCTCTTCATGGATGAGAGGGCGAGAGGCGTGAGTGCCTTGGGTCTGCCAGGGGAGAAGGGCCCAGAGGGAGGATGGCTGGGCAGCTGGGCAGCTGGCCCGGATGCCTGAGGGCCAAGGGACCACCCCGAGAGGGCCAGAGGGCATGGCGGGATGTTCAGTGGGGGTGGAAGGGAGGGGAGTGGCTGGGCGGAATGACTGTTTCAGAAGCAAATTCATCCTTTTCTCATCTTTCACTCAGGCCTTTTCTTTTCTCTTCTCGTGATCTTCCTCCTCTTCACCTCACTCTGGCCAATCTCTGTTCTCTACCTGGTGTGGCTCTACCTGGACTGGGACACACCTAACAAAGGTGAGCTGTGGACAGGGCCCAGGTAACGAGAAATGTTGGGTGGGGGGAGGCGGTTACCTCCAGGGATTCTCGCACCCTCTGTCTTTGTCTGCAGGTGGAAGGTGTTTTCACTGGATGAAGAACTTGACAATTTGGAAGCATCTAAGGGATTATTATCCTATTAAGGTGATGGGTCCTTTGACTGCCTCTGCCCTCCCCTACCTCCTGCACTGCTCTCTCCTTCCGTGTGCTGGAGCCTGAGCACGTAAACTGAGGCAGTGGCCCAGGGGTGTATGGCATCCAAGATAGGACCATTGATCCCATTCTAGGACCTTGAACTCTGAAGTCTGTTGGGGGGCAGGGCAACTCTTTTCAGCTGGTTTCTTTCCTTCTCTGTCTCCCTCCACTCAACCTGCCCAAACCCTGAAGCTGGTGAAAACAGCAGAGCTGCCCCCCGACCAGAATTATGTGGTGGGCTGTCACCCACATGGGATCATGAGCACCGGGATTTTCTGTAATTTCTCCACGGAAGGCAATGGCTTCTCCAAGCACTTCCCAGGGCTTCGGATCTGGCAAACTGGACTGAATAGCCTCTTCTGGTTCCCAGTCTACCGAGACTACCTCATGAGCTATGGTGAGCTTCCAGTTGAATGGGGTGATTGCTCCCCCCATACACTAGGACACCCCTCCCCGCCCCCCCGCCCCAGTACAGGGACTTGGCCTGAACATCGGCCAGGATCACAGCGGGCATCAGTGAGTGGCTTCACTGTCAGGCTCTGACATGGGGATTGGGTAGGGGTTTGGAAGGAACAGGATGCAGGGTTCACCTGTCCTATACTAAGGGTGAGGGGCTGGGGGCCTGTGGAGGGGGTGCTGACTGCTTCCCGCCTACTCCTACCCGCAGGAATGTGTCCTGTGAACCGCCAGAGCCTGGACTTTGTCCTGTCCCAGCCCCAGCTTGGGCAGGCCGTGATCATTACAATAGGGGGTGCCCATGAGGCCCTGTATTCGATCCCAGGGCAGCACTGCCTCATGCTCCGGGACCGCAAAGGCTTTGTGCGCCTGGCGCTGAGGCACAGGTGAGTGGGCGTGTAGGGCCTACTGGTTGGAACTCCACAGCTCCCCTGGAACTGTCCATTCTCTGTGGGTCTACACTCTCTCTCAGTCCCTAGACATCTGGGGCCCCGTAGGGGGGACTGTGTCCCCAGAGCCAAGCATTGTGCCCTATACCTGGAGGCTCACAGCAGCCCTGAGTGTCTTGCTCTGAGCCAAGCACTGTGCCCCCGTTCCCCAGGCTCCCTCCCACCCTCAGCGAGGCAGAGGCAGGGGCGTCGTGCCAATGGCAGGGTCCTTGGGCTCAGAAGCCCTGGATTCTCTTTCTGACCTTATCTCAGAGGCAATGCCCTGGACTTGTCTCTTTACCTGTGAAGAGGGCTAATACCGACCAGCCACCAGCTTGTAGTTATAAAAACTGAATGAGAAAGCTAGTATGTGAAGGCCCACTACACAATCGTTTCTCAAGAAATGTGAATCCCTTCCTCTAGATCTTTCTTTGTAGCCACAGTCATGTGCTTTGAAAGGCCCTGGGACATGGCCTCATGAGGGCTGGGGAGGGACTTGCAGCCCCCCGCGGTGCCCGTTGGGGGGCAGTCCAGCAGCCTGAGCACCCCTCTTCTCTCTTGCCACCCTTCCCAGGGCCTCCCTGCTGCCCGTGTACTCCTTTGGGGAGAATGATATCTTCAGATTCAAGGCTTTTGCCGAGGGCTCCTGGCAGTATCGGTGCCAGGTCATCTTTAAGAAGCTCCTGGGCTTCTCTCCTTGCATCTTCTGGGGCCGCGGTCTCTTCTTGGCCAACTCCTGGGGGCTGCTGCCCTTTGCTGTGCCCATAACCACTGTGGGTGAGTGCCCACCTGCAGGGAGGGGGTGGCCGCCAGCTGCTCTGTGGACAGCGGGGACCCCTCGCTCACCTATGTCTCCCCCTCTCTGCAGTGGGCCGCCCCATCCCTGTGCCCCGGCACCTCCACCCCACCACTGACGAAGTTGACCACTATCACGCCGTCTACATGAAGGCTCTGGAGCAGCTGTTTGAGGAGCACAAGGAAAGCTGTGGCGTCCCTGCTTCTACCCACCTCACTTTCATCTAGGCCTGGCCTCAGCTGCCCACTGAGCTCCTGAGCCCCTGACCCAGGGTGCTGGGACCTCCACCTACTGCCATGCTCCATGCCTCCAATCAAAACGAGTTCCAGAAGCAAGCTTGTCCAGCCCTGATCCACGCCCATCCTGATGTGCTACAGAGCTGCTGCCTGAGATTGGATAGAGACTCAACTCTGTCTGTGGCATGACCTTGGACAAGCCTCTCCCCTTTGCCTCTTCTCTGGCTGTAAATAAAGGCATCCTGCTTAGCTAAGAGCTGTTGGGCATCAGGATCTAGTTGGGAGGGAGGATTGGTGGAGGGGCAGGCTGTGAAGAGCAGCAGGATTCAGGTGTAAAGGTAGTTCAGTAGATGGTGGATCAGTGAGCAAAGGCTGGGCTCAGTCAAGGGCACATAACCGGAGGGAGGGTGGACAGACCCTGGGTGGAGAAAAGATAGAGTCAAGGGCACAGCTTGCTCTGCACGTCCTCCCCATCCTCTATGCATCCCTGGGGCTGAGAGAGCCAATAAACAAGGACTTATTTTACCAGGATTAAGATGTACTTCAAGCCCGGCATTTGGCTCAGCACTGTGGACTGTTGTAAAGATTAAATGAATTAAGATGTAAGGGTTTAGAGGCTGAGCGAGGTGGCTCACGCTTGTAATCCTAGCACTCAGGGAGGTTGAGGAAGAAGGATTGCTTGAGGCCAGGACTTTGAGACCAGCATGAGCAAGAGTGAAACCCCGTGTCTACTAAAAATAGAAAAATTAGCTAGGTGTGGTAGCGTGCACCTGTAGTTCCAGCTCCTGGGGAGACTGAGGCAGGAGGATCGCTTGAGCCCAGGAGTTTGAGATTGCAGTGAGCTATGATGATGCCACTGCACCTAGCCCAGGTGACAGAGAAAGACCCTGTCTCAAAAAAAAAAAAAAAAAGAAAGAAAGAAAGAAGAACAATGTATTCAGTGGAAGAATTTTCCCTTGTCTTTGGATGAAAACCTGGGCAGTCCCATGACTTATCTCAGGTGATAAGTTCTACATTAAGTTAATGCATAGCATGTTTAGTTCCCGTGGTAATCAATGCCACAGTCTTTATCCAAGGATAGGAATTTTCCCCTCGCTGGCAAGGGCAGGCTACCTACTTGGCACGGGGTTGGTGGTTGGGGAAGGTACAGTATGCAACGGTAGGACTGACCTCTTCCCTACTCCTCCCATACTAGCTGCTGTTACTAACCCTTTGGGCTTAGCGTATGGGGCAGAGATTGGGAAAGAGTACCAGAAAGTTCTAGTTTGACAAGGCTGTCACAGAACGTGGTGTTCTCTGGGCCTTCAGATTGCCAAAACTGATCTCTCTTCTTCCCAGGGACATTCACAGATCCCTTGTAGGTTTCCCTGTAAGGCCCTTTTGGCAGCTTCTGAGCTTTCTCTGCCTCATCCCCTGGCCTTGGGCTTCTGCCCATGATCTTGACACAGGTCTTCTCAGCAGGAATCCCATTATTCTAGGCTGCAAGGGATGGAAAACCCAGCTCCGGCCGTGAGCATCCTTAGCCTGGGTGCTCTTGGAATTCAGGTCCCAGTGTGGCCACTTGTCCTTCCTTTTCTCCTGCTGTGGGGTCATCCAGCCAGCCACAGTCAGCCGCTAGATTTCTCTGGTGGGCACCTTCCCCAAACACTGGGGATGTACTAAGCTCTTGTCACTGATCTTGTCATGGGAAGACTTGCCCTATGGGGGTGGGGCTCACAGCACGCTGAAAGCCATTCCCCACACCCTCTCTCCTCCATCTCCAAACTCTAATCCTTGTCCTGGGTGAGGAGCTCCAGAGTCACTTCTCAACCATTTGCCTTGAATGTGTTGCACGTGGCCTGCTCTGGCCCCCTTTGAGATGCAAGGCCTGTTTATTGCACCTCTGTACCTCGGCTTGGTACAAACTTCAATGTTGGCATCTCCAGTGTTTTTCTCTGGGTTCTTTCCCTAAGGTGCAGGGGCACCAACTTCAAGTGAGAACTGGCCACCAAGGGCTGGGAGCTGTGGGGATTAGATCCCGGGACCTTCCTCTAGGGCCCTGCCCCTCCTCTTCTCCCTGTGAGTAATGGGGCCTTGGCGTGGGACTGGGGGAGGCTGGAAGGGGTTTCATCCCCCATCAGGCCTCTGCCTGAAACCCAAGTCATGGGTGAGGTGTGTGGGGAGGGCTCGGCCTGAGGCGGGAGAGGGGCACTAGAAGCCAGGGTGTCCCATGGAGGAAACAGGCTTGGCCCAGGAGGCAGACAAATGCTCAAAATAGGTAAAAACTGCTCCAGTCCCTGCAGGCTGGTTGGATAAGTTTATCAGGAAAGGGCCAGGTCTGGTCAGAGTTAAGAGAGGAATAAGGGGAAGGAGGAATCATCCTTGAGGTAGAAAGACCATTGGGGTGTGGGGAGAGCCCAGGGCAGGAAGCAGAAAAGTGAAGATCAGGCTCCGTTCCCCCGGGGAGACTTGGTGTCCCCGTGTGGGAAGTGGGAATGTGATGTGGCAAGGAAAAGGGCCTCCGTGACTGCTGAGGGTTGGAAAGACTGTCTGGGGCAGAGGGGGTTGGGAATGACACCCCCGGAGGATCACAGGTGTGGCTCCCCCAGGCCACCACCCACCAGGGTCCACTTCAGCCAATGAGCACTACCTCCCTGTTGGTCATGCCAGCTTGGCATCCTTCCTGTCCACTGTGACAGGGTTGTCTGTGGCCTGTCCCCCACTGTCAGCCTTCTTCTGAGAATGCCATCCTCTCCAGGAAGCCAGCCCAGGCTGGGAGGAGGCTACAGGTGTCAGGAGCACTGCCCTGCCTCCCCACCTCCCTGACCCTCCCCAAGCCTCCTGTGCGTCCATGCTTGGATCCCAGCCCAGCCAAGGGTGACAGTCCTCTGGTCTCCATCTCCTCCCATCATCTTTTTTCTTAGCCCTTCCTTGTCAGGCAGCCGTGTTAGATGGGACTTGGTCTACAGGGCTGGAGCCCAGGTGGAGAAGAATAAAGAGTCAGGCGCCAGGTCTATGACACACACCTTCTGCCAGTCTCCCCCAGCCCCAGGCCACAGTGTCAACACCAGGGTATACACTGCAGGGCTGAGATGCCAAACTGGATTCTTAGAAAGGCCTTCTTAGGGGGACAGTGGGAACCAAGTGCACATGACCCAGCCACTGCCTGGCAGCTGCTGTCATCAGGATTCCAACTTGGAACTAAACGCCTCAGGGTCGCAGTCAGCCTGTCCGTTGGGCTGAGCCTGGCTGATACATCACTCCAATCTTTGCCTCTGTTAACACACAGTGTTCCTCCTGGTGTGTCTGTGTCCAGATTTCTCTCTTTCTCATCTCAAGCAATCTTCCCACCTCAGCTCCCAGCATGCTGGGATTATAGCTGGGAGCCACGGCACCTGGCCTAAATTTCCCTCTTCTTATAGCACAGGGGTCATACTGGATTAGGACACACCTTAATTCAATATGACCTCATTAAATTGATAACATCTGCAAAGACTCTATTTCCAAATAACATGACATTCACAGGTGCTGTGGGTTAGGATTTCAACATATCTTTTTGGAGCACGTAATTCAACCCATAACAGGTGTCTTTTTCTAATGCACACAAAGATACTGTCTGCATGTACCTGGGGGCTGCACACACTGAGAGGTGCTCTTTGGGTAAATTAGAACAAAAATGCTCCATGTTGCATGGTAGCAAACGTTCCCCATAGGATCTTCTCTCCAGGGAAGTGCAAGTACCAGGTGCACAGAGAGCAGGTGGGTCACTAGCGTCTAAACTGTCCCAAAAGGGTACTGAGTTTCTGCTCTTATTTTCAAGAGACCTGGGCCCCAGAGTGCAGGGCTGTTATGGAGCTTCCCTGTAGCATCTCTCCTCCAATGCAGCTAGACAATAAGCCCCAACACTGTGTGATTTCTCCTTGTAGTCTGGAAGAATCGAATTTATAAATACATGAACTAAAGAAGCATTTGTGAGCTGAGCCGGTAGCCTCCTTTCAGGGCTTGTTCTTGCCCTGCCATCCTCTATGTGGCCGCCAGAGGGCGGTCTCCACTCACAAGGCAAATCCGTCCCTCTACTGCCTGAAACCTTCCCGGAGCTGGTCAGCCCCTGCCTACAGGATAGGTCCAAGGTGGTGCAGCCCCACCCAGTTCAGGCAACCCAGAACTGCTTGTTCTTGCCAAGCAGGATGTTTCTCAGCCCTGGATTTTGCTCAGGCTGTTTCCTCCTGCCTCAAGGACCCTGTTCCTCTTCATCATCTGGAAGGGAATTTTAAAGACTCAGTTCAACCTGGGTGCAGTGGCTCACACCTGCAATCCCAGCACTTTGGGAGGCCAAGAAGAGAGGATCACTTGAAGCCAGGAGTTTGAGACCAGCCCGAGCAATATAGTGAGACCCCCATCTCTACAAAAAGGACAAAAATTAGCCAAGTGTTGTGGCGCCAACCTGTAGTCCCAGCTACTGGGGAGGCTGAGGCAGGAGGATCCCTCGAGCCCAGGAATTTGAGGTTGCAGGGAGCTAGGATCATGCTGCTGCACTCTAGCCAGGGTGACAGAGCGAGATCCTGTCTCAAAAAAACAAAACAAACAAAAAACAGAATGAAAGAATAAGAATATCATCATTTTGCAACCCCTAGTAAATGACTGAATTTTAGGTCTTGAGCATGAGTGTCTGATAAGATTCCAACAAGACAACAAGATTTGGGCCTCTGATGGAAGAATGCAACACCATCTATGAAAATCTCTCCCCAAAAGTGGAAGCTGACTCTTAGCAAAAAATTTAATGTGAGCCACATGTATAATTTAATCTTTTCTAGTACTAACCACTTTTTGAAAAGTAAAAAGAAACACATGGAATTAATTCTAATAAAATGCTTTACTTAGCCCAATATATCTAAAATATTATTTCAACATGTAATAAATATGAAAATAGTAATGAGGTATTTTACATTCTTTTGGGGGGGACTAAGTCTTTGAAATCCAGATCATATCTTTCATTGGCAACATATTTCAAT